AATGCACTCGGGCTAGTGGCTTTAAAGACCCAGCAAAAGGGACACAGAAGGTGTCACCTGACCCCCAGGGCCTGTTGCCAAATTCCAGAGCTGTGGCATAAACATCTTCAAATCCACAGCTTGGCTTTACCAAAAGAGAGAGAGAGAGAAAGGGGGGGTGGAGGGAGGAGGAAGAAAGAAGAGAGAGAAAGAGAGACAGTCCATATATGGGAAACAGGAAAGAGAGATGTACAACCAGGAATGGGTTCATATTTGAGAAAAGAGGAACATTTATCACAGGAGCATCTCCATTAAAATACCCATTATGAAAAATATAGGAATCATGAAGACAGTAATTCTTGAACCAAAATCATGTATTTGCTGGTTTTAAAAATAGATATCCTGTCTTTATATCAGCTACAGGATGGGTAAGGAGGGGGCTAGGAGGAACATTTTGAAATCAGTGGACCATACCATCCATTAAAAAGAAAGATATTCTACACCCTAAAATAAATAAGTGGACAAGGAGACTCTATCACTAGAAGAGATTGTAAAGGGATTTTACTTTTATGAAGTCAAAGTAGCTCTCTTAAAACTGGAACATATTTCTGTTCCTTACCACCTCAAAATGTGTATGTATGTATTTATTTAGCTAAATGTCTTTTATACCTGAGTGAAAGTGCAGGCAGATATGTATCATGATTTGATTAAAAGTTGATAACCCTGTCAAAGATCTGTTAAAATTGTTTCAGGGACTGGAACTAAAAGTAACCATACTTATATTTAAAAGTTATAGGAAAAAGAAAAACCCTGATCTGATCATATATTATCTTCCTTTTCAGTCTAATGATTCCCAGATTCCTATTAACCTGTTCAAGCTAGGAAGGAGAGGGATCTGTCACATAAATCAATATAAACTGTCGTTCCACCTTAATTAAATTAAATTAAAATTTTCCAGTCCAGTCTTCTATTCCCTGACATACTACTTTCCAAATATGTTGACATTATATCTTCTAGGTTTCCTAGTTAGTAGATTAACTATGACATCATCTAGCTTGGATTTGGGAGACTGAAACCAAGGGCTTGAATCAGCAGGATGAACAAGACCATTCCCAACATGAGAGGGTGTTAATAAATGACCGAAAACATGTTACCAACGGGTGGGGAGTTAGAAATAGTTATACTGCTGCTATGTCTAGCCCACTAAATCCCTGAGAAATTAATACTGTAGTGGGATTCTAAAGAATACTGAAGATATTTCTAATTGCCCAAGGTTCCCTCTCTGCTGCTGTCACTTACAGAGACAAGCCCAGGGAAGTGGCATCTCTCTTTTTCCAAAGACCCTAAAGCATTACTGCCAATCACAGCACACAGCATTTTCTTTTTAATAAGCCATTCTGGGGGGGGGGAGTGAAAAGAGGTCCCTACACTTGCAGGAAACCCCTAGAAGGAAACAAAAATGCAAACTACTTGATTAACAAATTGATATGATATTAATTTAGGCTTCAGGTCATTGTGTCCACCCATCTGCCAAAGCAGACATGCTAAGAAAAAAAACCAATTACAGTTACGTGTCGAGCACTGTTTTGGTGTGAAAATGTAAAACAAATAAAATAAAGGGAGGCTATGTTTGGAATCAAAGTTTCCTGGTTTTGTAGGTGGGTGGAGTGGGGCAAGAGACACCACTCTGGCTTACTGATCAAGGCAGGTCAGTAAAGGTAGAGAGCAGTTGCACCCTGCCAAGATCTATCTCCTTTCCTTTGAAAGAAGGGATCCTGACTGACTGACTGAAAATTGGAGCCTTTCCAACCTTCCTGAAAGGTATTCAGATTCGAGACTTCTCAAAAAGATTCTATCTACTTAGGCATTAGTGCCCCTATGTGGCCATAGGAGGTAAACATCGCTCAGTGAGTAGGACTCATCAGATATATATGCAAAGCAACTCTATAGCTTCTGTAATAAATATTTATTCGTTTCATTTCTCTCTTCCTGTCCATTACCCTATTTTTCTCCCAACCAAAGCCTTGTAAGGTATGTTGCACTGTGAGAAAGTGAATGGCCCAAAGTTATCTGGAAGCCTCCTTAGCTGAGGGTGGAATAGAACCTGGTGTCATCTCTCCAAATCCAGAAAATTGCCCATTACATCCAACAGCAGTATTTTTCAAGAAATATATCTTGAGAAGCACTACCCTGCAAGCTGTCAGTATGTTAATCCAAGTGAATTTGCTTCAACTGACACCATTTGTCAGAGGTAATACATTGCTTCAAATTTGCATTTGGAAAAAAAGGAAGAACAAAATGATGACAAACCATTGCTATTATCAGTATATCCAGGTAAATACCAGAGGTCAGCCATGATACAAGAAATTCAAACTTTGCTGCCATCTAATGGTTGCCCAGGTTTTTTTCAATGTGAACATTATGCTTTCTTTCTAATGCAAGCCGATCATACATTTAGCATTTGGGAATTGTTGCTAATTAAACTTAAGAGCAGCAGAGTTGATTCAGTTCATATATCACAGTAAGCCATAATTTATTTATTTTGAGGAATGAATCATAGTTGTCAGAATCATACTATGCAGGCTTATTATCAACCCCAGTGGTTGAGTACATTCTTTCTGAGTAAAAACCAAACAGATCCAATGTAATATTAAGCCTTCCATTGATTGTTTCTAAATGTAAAGAAATTTAATTTCAGAGGGAGAGCCAGTTTGATGTAGTACCTTAAGGCACTGGACTAGAAAGAGGCAGATCATGAGTTCTACTTCTCACTTTAGGCATAAAGCCAGCTGGATGAATAATCTTGGCCCAGTCACAAGAGGGAGAGGCAAAAGAGAGATGCAAAACAAAAAAAGTGATAAGAGCTTTTTCACTCCTAAGAAGGCAGCAATGGCAAATCACTGCTAAAATCTTATCAAGAAAACTTCAGGGACTTACCTGGGGAGTCAAGACCAACACAAAAGCACAGAATAAAAGAGTCTCATTAGGAGCCCAATTAGCATTAATTGTACATTTAACTTAGCACATAGCAAGATAACACCTAATTTGCCTCATCCTCACAGATCTGTGCTTATCTATTCAGTGAAACAGAAGAAATACATCACATCCTCCCACCAAAAGAAGACCCCAGTTTTGTTTCTGCATGAAATATCCATATGCAAATCCATAAGCATATAAATGCCAGTTTCAGTGTGCAGGTGTTTGAGGTTATACATGGCATATGGCCTGGTTATTTAAGAAACCTCCTGCCTCCCATAATATATGCTTGGCTGATCTGATCTGGCAGGGTTGGCACTTTCCAGGTTCCTTTAGTTAAATAATACCATCTGTAGGGAACATCATCTGTGTAGCAGTGAGGGAGTCCAGACAGGAAAACAAAACCATGCCTTTATTGTGGGTTACTTTAACAGAGTCTTGAAAATCTGAAAGAACTTTTCTCCCCTGCCCTTACTTTCCAGAAAACTACTGGAGAAGGTCCCTTCTTAAATGCTTTCTTCACCCCAATCCAATGGTGGGATTCGGCCGGTTTGCACCACTTTGGCAGAACCGGTAGCTAATTTTTTGTTGCCCAGGCATAGAATGGACTTCTGGAAGTGGCATCCACACAGAGAATTGGTTGTTCACATATTTGAATTCCACCACTGCCCCAGTCCTTCCTTTGGACTCAGATTTCTCTTGTAGGCATTGTCTAAAGCAGCAGCTCTGCCTCTTGTCTTAGAGGTCTATTACAAGCTATGCCTGCCTTCTAGAATGAGATCTCTTTGAAGATTGAGATGCCCCGCCCCCCATTGATGTTTGGAAGGGCCCAGAAGAGCTGACATTTTATCCAGGCCTTTGGCAGGCATGGTTGAACCTTCCTTTTCTTCTTTTTCTTTATTTTTGGAGGGTTTGGTATGTTTTTTTTCCCCCTACCAACTTGGTTCGTTTTTGTTTGGGGGGGTTGTTGTTGTTCTAATGTTTTTTTTTAAGTAATTTGTAAATTGTCAGAGTCGCTAAATTCAGGAAGTATATACATGTAGTAAATTATTATCATCACATGAAAACTTACACAGAAATATATCTCTATTAAGGATTATAACAGTGTGCCCTAGTCACATGGTCACTTAATTCAGAGTGCTCAATGTTAATGATCAATTTCAAATTTCAAACTCCCTCTCCGTTATGATGATGGCTTATTTTGATACCAGCTTTTGTCCTTAGACTTGAGTGGCATGGGCATCCAGTGTGGGTGTGGGTGGGTGTGTCAAAAATGTCAAGTGGCAACTACAACACTGTGAATATAGTTCTGTTCTTTTTCTTAACTATGTCACACTGAGAAGGATATTGTGGAGTTCAAAAAGAAGTGCAAAGATATAAGCAAAGTTTGGGAGAAAAACATCTAAATTAAAAAGAAACCCAACACCCCAGCCTTTTCCAAGACGATGCTTTCCGGAGAAGTTGGGTCTGTGGCTTCCAGAATTCTCAGCCAGCATGGGATTTGTAGCTTAAACTCATTTGGTTTGTGAAGGATGCTATATATTAAAATTAAAATTATTTTTGATAGAGTACCAAAAACACAGAAGGAGCCATCTCATACAGATTCTGGGATTTGCAGAGGTAAATTAAATAGAACAAGGGCAAGGTAAAATAAAATTGGCCAAATTTGCCATCCAAGAGAATTTGCAGGGAGGGATTAAGAAAGACAATATGGTAGTCAGAACACCATTTAATGCACTATGACAGGGGTAGACAACCTTGGCTCTTTTATATGACTCGTGGACTTCAACTCCCAGAATTCCTGAGCCAGCCAGCCTATCCCTGCACAATGAGGTGCATAAACAAGAAACTACATGATTCCTGCCACCATCCTGATTAGTTTTCTCCCCTCATCACATACACAGATGCCCTGGTCTGACCATTCTTTCGTGCTTTTCCTTCTATTTGGCTGGAGAAAGGCTACTTAAAGTGCAAAGAGCTTCCCCCACCAGCATCCTTCCCTCCCAGTGTTTGAATGACTGCAAAACAATTCAGCTGCAACTAAATTCACTGTTGTTGTAAACATTTATTAGCAATTTCTAAAATATGTACAAAAGATATCCATTTTAAAAATAATCAGATTTTAACCAAAAACTCCTCACTCTGTAGTATTAAATAAACATTTCAACTCTATATTATACACTCAAGTCCTGGGCCAAAAATTTGAGTGTCCCCCTGCCCCCCCCCCCATTGCTGCCCCACCCCATCAACACTATATTTTTTTCTACTATTTGAAGATCTATTATATCCCTCCCTCCTGAGAGCTCTCTCATGTTTAACCTGCCTGTTCTTAGACATAAGCCCTCTGGGCCTCATCTTGTGCTTCCTCCAGTTACAAAAGGCCAGCCCACAAAACTGGAGTTGCACAACCTGATTAGCTGTAACTCAACAAACCACAGTGATTTGATTACACAACCAATTCTAGTTAAGCCAGCAAACTGTGGCTAAACAAAACATGATTTATCAAAAATGGTACGTCTGTCTTGACTCCCAAGGGGAGAGACTAGTAGAAAGTCTCACCGACATGAATAATCTGCTTCCTTCCCATCATGATGCTCAAATGATGCTAACTCAGGCCATTTCCACATCTCCACTGTTCTCATTTCTCAATCTTTAGAAGCAATTTGTAAGTGATTGCTTCTACCAACTGAAGAACTAGAAGTAAAGATCACTGCCCTGATCCAAACTTTGCTGAACCTAGAGCACTAATTTTCAACCTTGGCAACTTTAAGCTGCATGAACTTCAACACTGAGAGAAAAGTGACTTCCTCCTGGGAGTTGAAGTCCATACATCTTAAAATTACCAAGGTTGAAAAACAATGCTGTAAGCAACAAATATCCCCTTACTTCCAGTACAGAAAGGGAAACTAGCAAACTCATAAATTATGGTTTCTTTCTGAAAGAAGAAACTGAAAAAACTGAGAGGGTGCTACAAAATTATCAAAGTCAAGGTTCAGATGTTCCTCAGGTTATGACCTTGAATGCTCAGAGAACATTCAAGCTTGGGACAGTGCTCAATAACTTATAGTGGGTTCTCGAAGTTCCAGCCATCACAGTATCCCCACAGTCATGTGATCACAATTTCCTAAGTTCTCTACTGACTACTGACAAGTAACTTCAGTAATGAAGCTGGCAGGAAGTCAGAAGTTGTGGTCAGATGAGGTTCTTGCTCAACAACCCACATGGTCATTGCTGAACAATACAAACTGCTTTACTTAGCAACAGCAACTCCAGGCCTAATTGTTGTCATAAGCCAAGGACAACTTATACCAGAGATGAATTGGAAATTATTTAGCTCAGTCCTCCAATACTATCAATGCTGCAAAAATATAAAAATTTTGAGTTGCTACCAAATCTTTGTGTGGAGCTGCCATAAAGGATTATATCAAACCAAAGAATTCATATAAATCTCAAGGTGCATATCTGCCTCTGGTTTTCTTCCAGAGTAGTTGTTGCATCAAAGGACAAGAGAGGAGTACTTTTTCAGACCAGTACTTGTGGGATGATGCCTCTCCTTACCAATTTTCTTTATTCTTTCCAAGTCAAAAGAATGTTGGAAAGAAATTATTTAAAGAAACTGTATAGATGTTTTAAAAGACTCTAACCAACTGTCTTTCCAGATTATTTTCTAAAAACTGAACAGAACAGAACCAAATTTGGTGTGAGGAAGGAAGTTGGCAAAAGATAAAAAAAAATGGGTTGAATCAGGGCAGTAACTTAGATTGTGGCTGATTCATCCATTCTAAGCCGAGTCCCTCTACCTTCCTGGTCATATGAATGAAGTAGCTATTAAGAGATTGGAAAGAGTTCCAGAAGTGTGCTCTGCACAATTTTCCTACTTGCTCCAAAGGTCATTCATGTTGATGAAACAGTAAGGCATGGAATGGCAAGAGAATAAGGGAAGCATTGGACTGAGCTCTGTGCAATTGTAAGAAGACACTACAAATATTTTAAGGAGGGGCCATAAATCCATTAAGGCCATACTCAAAAATAATTTAGCAGCTCTGCTGCTGTTTCATTCCTTTTTCATTCCACCAAGACCCCCCCAAAAGAGTTGATATGAGCACTGGTTCTCAAACCATCCAGGAAAGATCAATCCAGGAATCCCAGCCAGATGCATCTTAGCTGAACTCCATTTTCCCATCCCAAAAAGGAACCCTCCCCCCAAGTCCTGGTCCAGAAACCTTCCCCTAAAGTGCAGATCCCCCCATCCAATAAAAGCCCTCATTGCTTTCAGATCCTCCCTCCTTGCTTAATGCAAAGCATCTGGCAGGTTTTCTAATACAGCCATACTGGCAAATGCCCAAATATAGTTTTCAAGAAAGCCAACAGAGGAAGCATTTCATGGGAGGTTATTCTGGCCCAGGAGTCTTGAGGGCTTTAGGAAGAAGGTGATGGGCTCAGCAGTGAGGTCCCAAACTGGTACGTGAGCTTCTTTTTCACCTTGCGGATCTCACCCGTTTTGCCATAGTTGCGCAGAGCTCGAGCCATTTTTTGGTAGGTCATTTTTTTGCGGTTGCCTTTCTGCTGGCCCCAGCGATGTGCCAGAAGCTCCTTGTGCTTTGAAGAGAACTGGAAGATGCCTGCATCACGCTGCACCCACCACACACATTCTTTCATGTCACCACCTTCAAGGAGCTCCAGCAAAAACTGGTAGAGGCGGAGTTTTCGGCGAGAGCCTGCAGAAGAGACCAAAGATCGGGATAGACAGATGTGTCAGATGCCCCCCACCGTCTGCTGTTCAGAGGAAAGCACTCCCCCAAGGAGGAAAGAAACCAGATTGCCATGACTGCAGCCTCTCTTATTCTCAAGGATGGCAGAGGTCCGAGAGGGCTTTTCAGCATGTCATGAGGCTAAAAATCTCTGCGACAAATTTCCCATTTGTCTGCCTGAATCCCTGATGGCAAATTAAAGTAAAATCTCTTTTTGGATTTCCTCCAAGAGTTAGGATACCATGGGGGGGGGGGAGGACTTCTTGTGGAGGGTGGAGGAAGATCACAATCCTGACATTTCACCATTTAGCTCTAAGAAAATTCTCCCAAGAATGGAGATTGACCCTGATGCTTGTTTTGTAATCCAGATGAACACTGCCCTTAAACTTCCTCATTTGTTCAGAAAATAGGAACAGTTACTCAAGGCTGGGAATAGATAGGGTTCTAGCATCATATCACAGGATTTCTTCCATTCAGCTAATCATGCAAAGCAACCATTGGTTGTTTTATAGGCTATTCTAGAGAGGTCGAATAGGAACAAGAGATTTTTTGCATAATATCAATATGGACTTCATTTCACTAAACAGCACCTGTGAACAATGCATCAAGCTAGCACTGTGGCATAATAGTATAAATAAGAAAGATGGTTGAAGAATCCTCACTATTAATTGTATACTATAGACCAATAGTTAACGCTACCATGACAAAAAGCAGAGTTACCCGTTTCAGAATGAATGTAGAACTGATTCTAAGATTGAGAGGGGGCAAGGGGTTAAGAAAGGAATTCCCATATATACGTACAGCTAAGACATAAGCAGGCAAAACAAGAATTAATAATTAAGAGATTTTCCTTTGTGGAATAATAATCAACTTCCTTGAGATGGTAGATGGTTACAGATTCTTAGTAGCATATTCTGATAAAGAAAATCCTTATTTAGCAACCACAATTGGAATTGGCAACTCAGTCAGTAAGCAAAGTGGTGGTTAACTAGGATTGTGTTTACAATCTCACTTCAACTTTCCGTTGCTTTAGGGATCTGCGAAGGTTGAAATGCAAGGATTGGTCATAAAATTACTTTTTCATCACCATTGTAACTGCAAACAGTCATTAAATAAGAAAGTTGCTAAACCTTAAAAAATACACCAAGCTCAATTGTCTCAAAGGTGCTTTTTCAAAAGACAGCTGGACTTTGTTTTTCCTTGACGATATTTTGCTTCTCATCCAGGAAACTTCTTCAATTCTGAAGAATAGATGAGAAATGAAACATCTTAAAAGTAAAGCAAAGTTCAGTTGCCTTTTGAAAAGGTATCTTTGGGGCAACCATGACCTGGATGACTGAGAATCTCCACAGATACCAAGCTCAATTCCTCTTAATTGTAAACATTCAGTTGTCTTAGCAGTGCTCCAGCATGTGTCTGAAATGCTTTTCAATTTCTCAATCTAGCCCACATATTGTGCCTTCCGAAATTTAGTGAGCAAGCTGCATTCCCTCATCCAGATGCTCTTTGGATGTGCTGGGCCACATCTGTTGGGAAAGAAGGGAAGTAGAATCTAATACATCTGCCCAATGCCAGGCTGTAGATAGCAGCTGTGTTCTCGGATCATATGCCTAAATTATCTATTGTGGATTGATTTCTTAGTGATGGTTTGTGCCTGGGGCATACTTTATTAGCTTGCAGATCAATACTCTGGGCCCTCTGTCATCTTTGGAGGCATTATCTACTTTCTGAGGATTCTTACTCTCCACTCACCAGAATCAAACCTAGACAAGAGATTCTCATCCAAGTCACTCTCAGAAGATACTTCCAGATTCCGGCCATCCTTGTGAATTTCCCCCTCTTCTGACAATGGGCTACATATTTCCCTTGGAGCAGAATATTGTTCGTATGGCAGATAGATCTGTAGAGATCAAATGACAATTTAATGGAATGAAACATTTAAATAGTAGTTGCCAGTCTTGAGAGTAAGGACCAAACTGGATTACATAGATTATTACAAAAGTTAAATGGTTCTCCAGTTGATCTGTTTCTTTTATATGAAAGACAGCTTTATAATCTGAACCTTTTAATGTTACATAGCAAAGAAATACTTTTGGGGATAGGAAAAAGGTTATTTGTCTTACACTTCCTGCCCCAAAGATCTCTAAAACCATGTGTACTGTCAAAAGGTCTCCATTTTACACTGGTTCAATTTTAAAATAGAATATACTGCCATGTTTTGTTGACAGCATTTCCTCATACCTTTCTAAGGTCCAAAGATTACACCATGCAGAAAACTCTATCTCTTGTCATATATATATATATATATATATATATATATATATATATATATATATATATATATATATATATATATGACTGACAATGGGAAAACTGCAAAATACAGATCACAATGCAAGTAATGCTCCTACCTCATTCCCCCATCTAGAACAGCTAAATTCCAATAGTATTTTCTTTTATCAACTCCCCATTCTCTTGTCCGAAAACTCGAGGGTTAATGATTTCATATCCCTTGCTTAACCAACAGTACAAGTAGTCCTCAACTTACAGCTATTTGTTTAGAAAGTTACAATGGCATTGAAAAAAATGGCTTATGACCAGTTCTCACACTTACGACCATTTTAGATTCCCCATGGTAATGTGATCAAAATTCAGGCACTTGGCAACTGACATATACTTTTGACAGTTGCAGCATCCTGGAGTTACATGATCTCAGTCTGCAACCTTCCCAGCCAGCTTTTGTCAAACAAAGTGAACGGGGGAAGCTGGATTCACTAAACGACAGACTGATTAACTTATCAACTATAGCAATTCACTTGCAACTGAAGCAAAAAAGGTTGTAAATAAAGTGTGACTCATTTAACAACTGCCTTATTTAGCAACTGAAATTGTGGACCTACTGTGGTCATAAGTCATTAGCAAAAGCTATGCTGGCCAGGAAATCCATATGTCCGGAAATAACCTGATAGGAAAAGAGTCATGGTATTCCCAAGGAGATCTAAGGGATCCAGATTCCTTTCCCCTTCCCAGATACTGAGGTTCCGCCCATTACCTCAGTGTTGTATTCATCCTTGAATACCATAGCTGAATTCTGGGCCGGCATCATTCCCTCGTGGTTGTAGACTGGTTCCAAAGAGAGCTGTGGCTGGGGGTAAGTGCCAGGGGGGTAGGAGGGTTGGACATTCTGCAGCTGAGCCAGGTGTCCTATCTCAAAGGGTTCATATCCAGGTTCTTGCATCTCTAGCCAGTTCATACAAGACTCTGAAAGACAAAATCCCATGTCAAAAAGAAGGATCCAAAAGACCTAGAGAAGCTCATTGTTCAAGAGCATCCTATTAAAAAATAATCCAAAGTCATCAGCAAACGTACACAAACTTCAGGTTAGTAGGTGTTTCCTTTGACTATTCATTGCAACCAAAATCTACCAGCTAGAAGGGATGGTGAAGTGTAATGAAAAGGAATAGCTACTGCAACTCTTTTTCCACCATACACTGGAATAACTACCAGGCCCAGCCTTTCAGGCTTTCAGAAAATAGTTAAGAAATGGTTCTTTCCATGGACACTTAGCTCAGGTTGAGCAGAGTTTCCATTGGTAAGATATAGCAAATTTTAGCTTCTGATTGCCATTAAATTGTTTATTTGTTTTAGTTATATATGTGGCACTTGGTTTGAACTGGGCAGCCACAAAAATGCTTAAAATAAAGCAATAAACAAATAAACAAACCTGCACATCTACTGGAAATCAGTAGAGCCTCATCTGCCCTTTCATCTGCTCTTGTTTTGTATTTACTGGTAATCTTCAACTTACAACCACAATTGGCATTGAAATTTCAGTCGCTAAGCGATATTTATTTATTTATTTATTTATTTTCAAATATTTATATGCCGCCCAATCCCAAAGGACTCAGGGCGGCGTACAGAGTTAAAACAATCATAAAACAATAAAATAAAATAATACAGTCATACCGCGAGTCCGATCATATCCCGGCCCCCTGGGGACATCAGCCCCAGGCCTGCCGGAACAGGAGAGTTTTAGTGGCTTTCTTAAAGGCTGGCAGGGTGGGAGTAGTTCGAACCTCGGGGGGAAGTTGATTCCACCAGGTCGGAGCCACCACAGAAAAAGCCCTTCCCCGAGTGCCCGCCAGCCGACATTGTCTGGCCGATGGGACCTGAAGGAGGCCCAATTTTTGGGACCTCACCGGTCTCTGGGAGCTGTGCGGCAGAATGCGGTCCTGTAAGTAACCTGGCCCTATGCCATGAAGGACTTTAAAGGTGATAACCAACACCTTGAATTGCGTCCGGAGACCCACAGGAAGCCAGTGTAGCTCACGGAGGATAGGTGACACGTGGGCGTACCTTGGCGCGCCCACAATCGCTCTCGCAGCTGCGTTCTGAACCAACTGCAGTCTCCGAACGCCCTTCAAGGGTAGCCCCATGTAGAGCACGTTACAGTAATCCAGTCTTGAGGTGACAAGGGCATGAGTGACTGTGAGTAAAGCCTCCCGGTCCAAATAAGGCCGCAACTGGTGCACTAGGCGAACCTGTGCAAAGGTCCCCCTGGCCACAACCGATAGATGTTGTTCCAAATTTAGCTGTGAGTCCAGGAGGACACCCAAGTTGCGTGCCTGCACTGAGGGAGGTAAATTTGCCCCCCCCAGGACTAATGATGGACCATCCAGTTGGCCTTTGGGAGGCAAGACCCAGAGCCACTCGGTCTTGTCAGGGTTGAGTCTAAGCCTGTTCACCCCCATCCAGACCCTCACATCTTCCAGGCACCGGCACATCACGTCGACTGCTTCACTGAAAGGACACAGGGTGGAGATATATAATTGGGTATCATCCGCGTACTGATGATACCTCACCCCGTGTCGCCAAATGATCTCACCCAGTGGTTTCATGTAGATGTTAAAAAGGAGGGGGGACAGGACCAAGCCCTGAGGCACCCCATGATCGAGGCGCCTAGGGGTCGATCTCTGTCTGCCCGCCAACACCGACTGCGACCTGTCAGAGAGGTAGGAGGAGAACCACCGCAATACGGTGCCACCCACCCCCACCTCTACGAGACGACGCAGAAGGACACCATGGTCGATGGTATCGAAAGCCGTCGAGAGGTCAAGAAACACCAGGATAGAGGAATAACCCCTATCCCGGGCTCGCCAGAGGTCATTGGTCAGTGCGACCAAAGCAGTCTCAGTGCTGTAGCCGGGCCTGAAACCAGATTGAAAAGGGTCCAGATAATTAGTTTCATCCAAGGATCGCAAGAGTTGAGACGCCACCACCTTCTCTACAACCTTCCCCACAAAGGGGAGGTTGGAGACGGGACGAAAGTTCTTCAAAACAGCTGGGTCCAGGGAAGGCTTCTTGAGGAGGGGCCTCACCACCGCTTCCTTTAAAGGTTGCGGGAAAGACCCCTCCATCAAGGAGGCATTGATTATCGCCTGGAGCCAGCCTCGTGTCACCTCCCTACTGGCGGAAACCAGCCAGGAGGGGCACGGGTCCAATAAACAGGTGGCGGCATTCATTGCCCTCACGGCCTTGTCCACTTCATCAGGGGTCACAGGCTCAAACTTGCTCCAGATAACATGACTAAGACCAGCCCCTGGCAACTCGGCTGGCACTGCCCAGTCGGAGTCCAGGTCTCTCTGAATCTGAGCGATTTTGTCCGAAAGAAACTGAACAAACTCCTCAGCTCTCCCCTGCAAGGGTTCCTCCGCCTCCTCCACTTTAAGAAGGGAGCGGGTCACCCTAAACAAGGCGGCCGGGCGAGATTCTGCGGACGCAATAAGTGCGGAAAAGTGAACACGCTTTGCCGCCCTTATCGCCACTAAATAAGTCCTAAGATAGGCTCTTAATAGTGATCGGTCAGATTCAGAGTTACTGGCCCTCCAACGTCGCTCTAGACGTCTCTTGTGGCGCTTCATCTCCCGGAGCTCCTCAGTAAACCAAGGCGCCCTCCGGGGACCACCACCACAGAGAGGTCGCAAAGGCGCAATTCGATCCAGGGCCCCGGACGCCGCCTCATTCCAGGCCGCAACCAGGGACCCGGACGAGTTGTGGACAAGGGAGTCAGGTATTTCCCCAAGCTCCTCCTGGAACCGATCTGGGTCCATTAGGCGCCTGGGGCGGAACCACCTAGTCGGCTCCCTCTCCCTGCGATGGGGGAGTGATGCTCTGAAGTCCAGCCTCAATAGGAAATGATCTGTCCATGACAAGGGCGAGATCTCTATTCCCCTTAATTCCAGATTATGTCTCCATTGCCCCGAGAGAAACACAAGGTCAAGTGTGTGACCACCCCTATGAGTTGGATCCTGAATTAGCTGGGTCAGGTCCATGGTTGCCATGGAAGCCATGAACTCCTGCACCGCCTCTGAGCAATCGCCGAATGATGGTAGGTTAAAGTCCCCCGGTACTATAAGTCTGGGGAACTCCACCGCCAACCCGGCTACTGACTCCAGCAACGCAGGCAGGGCTGTTGCAATGCAGCTGGGAGGTAGGTACGTCAGCAGCAAGCCCAACTGAACCCGTGAACCCAACTTCAATAGGAGGGACTCACACCCAACAACCTCCGGGGCAGGAATCCCATTAGGGCTCAAGGACTTCCGAGCGATGACTGCCACTCCCCCACCCCTGCCCTGATGTCGAGGCTGATGAAGCACCACAAACCCATCCGGGCACATCTCCGAGAGGGAAACACCCCCCTCAGGGCCCAGCCAGGTTTCGGTTATACATGCCAGGTCCGCCCCGCTGTCCAATATTAAATCACGGACAAGGGGGGCTTTGCTGACAACGGACCTGGCATTAAGCAACAGCAGCCTACAATTAGGGCCCTGTACTCCCCTGTCACCAGTACTACAGGATGAGCCTTTTGAGGGGCCGGAACAAGGAATCGCTCTAACATAGCGAGTCCTCGTTCCCCAAAGATGGCCTGCCCCTCGGCTTCCGCCATATCTGCCCATCCCAGTCATGACCGGGATGCTCCGACCTTCTCCCCTCCCCGGAGCACCCCCAACCTCACCAGCCTTCTCCCTTCCTGACCGGACTAGCTTTCCATACAGACCAAGCCCAAGGGTAAGTCCTGCCCCCCCTACTTTTGCTATTGCACTCAACAGAGGGGGTACCAGGCTCCACCCCCGACTCCACCATTCTCATACCCCAAACACTCAATACACATTCACACTCAATTTATATACATAGAAAATAAAAATATTCACATATAGTTACTAAATTTTTACTGTGGTCATTGGGAGCATCAAGCAATTAACATGGTTGTTAAGCAAATCCAACTTCCCAAATTGACTTTGCTTGTCATGGCTGGGAAGGCTGCAACTTACAATCGCATGACCGTAAGACACACACCCATTGCAAATGCGAACCGGTTGCCAACTATCAGAATAGCAATCATGTATTCTGGGGGTTGTGTGATGGTTATAACATTGAAGATGGGTCATGAGTCATTTTTTCTGATCCTGTTGTAACTTTGAATCATTGTTAAACAAATAGTCATAGGCCAAGGACTATCTGCAGTAGCCAGTTGGTCATCATCAACTACAGTTCCATACAAGTGGACTGAAAACAGGCAGAAGAGAAAAAGAAAGACCGTGTGCTCTAAGAGTTAGGTGTTGGATTAGGAGGTTGAAGGCCAGATCTACTCTCCACATGAAAACCTACTAAGTGACATGAAGCCAGTCATTGTCTCTGACTATTCTAGAAGCCTTTAAGGAGGAAATGGAAAGCAAGAGCTCTGTACATATTGCCTATAATTACTGGAGCAAAATGGGGATAGACCTTGAATTAATAAAGAAACGCAAAGGAATATCACATCTTTGTCTTGACCCAACTTACTTTCCACAAAGAGGACAAAGAGAAGAGGAGGTCCTTCCCACACAGTCAGCATGCAAAGAGCAGATCAGAAAAAAACAGCAAATAAGACTGCTGCTTCCCTAGTCTGCTGTTCTTGATGGCTTTTTTATACTCCCTATTACAGGCAGCTTTCAATGGCAAGCTTCCAGCTTCTTAGTAGTATCAGAAATCAAGTAAATAAAATAGAATCACAGATCAGTTACAGGTAGTCCTTGACATACAACCACAATTGAGCCCAAAATTTCTGTTGCTAGCAAAACAGTTGCTAAGTGAATTTTGCCCCATTTTACAGTCTTTCTTGCCACAGTTGTTAAATGAATCACTGCAGTTGTTAAGTTAGTAACATGGTTATTAAGTGAAACTGGCTTCCCCATTGACTTTGCTTGTCAGAAAGTCACAAAAGATGATCATATATCTGCAGGACATTGTAACTGTCATTAATATGAGTCCGTTGCCAATCATCTTAATTTGGATCATGTGATCATGGGGATGCAGTAACTGTCGTAAGTGTGAAAAATACTCATAAGTCACTTTTTAGTGCAGTTATAACTTTGAACGAAACAAATGATTGTAAGTTGAAGATCACCTGGACCATCTGTGGACTTTCCTTTCAGATGGTTTCATGTGCTGTTCTCTTTTCTTTTGCTGATAAGACTGGTGGGCATTCTTGTGGGGAGGGATAAGGGAATCCCTGTGTATCATTTGCACTCATGTCCACTACTTGCTTAGAGGTGTGGTTCTGCCCTTGACTGTTGAGGTTTTCCAGGGGAGGAGGCCTACATAATGCTTCTTTTCCCCCCATCACCCTAAGAGAATGGCTTCAGTGCTCAGTTGGTTTGCTCAGATACAAGAGATGGATGATGCACAGAGCTGACTACAAAGAGCTCTCTGTGTTCTGGGCAACTGTAAAGTAGGGTCTGTGCAAATATCTGCCACCATGAATTTGCATAGGAATAGCAAGCTGTACCCTAATGCATATTTGCAGTCTTGCTTTTCCCCACCAGGGAGCAAAATCCGCCAAGGCAGCAGTGGGCTCACTGAATAGCTCAGAAGGTGGGTTTCATACAATAGAATAAGGAACATGTTTAACTCCTATATTATAGCAAACTCGATTTGCAAAGTATGAATCTCTAATCAGACTAACTAGTACTATCTATTTTCAAACAAGAACTATCTTTAGATATCGAGGCAAGGGGCTATCATAGGATAAATGCTAATGAAGCATTTCAAAAGAGGCTTGCTGGCTCATTAAGTAGGACATCAAACAATATTTTTCAGTACAATATTTTGTTGCAAATTCTACTTGGGACTTTGTATCTCTTCTATCAGACAAATTGCAATACTTGGTTTCCCTTTGGCTTCTTGCTAATGTAATTCTTGCATTTGTGTTGTTTGTTATTGATTATAACTTCCAATGAAAAATATGGTGTGTGCTTAAAATAGTCCCATGCACTTACATTTTTCAAGCTACGTAAGAAGTGTGGTTTTGGTGATCCTGCTAAAAGAGGACCAAAGCAGAAACAGTGAGGAAGATGTCGTTCATCAGGAATGTTATTTGCTAGCACATAGACCCACTACATACATGTTCATAGAATGAACATCCACATTTCCCTTTCCATTTGCCACCAAGGCAGTACATGCATTGCCTACTGAGGAAAGAAGTGTCATTTCCCCCCCTTCCAAGAAAAATGTGAAGAGCTCTTCCAATGCTTGCAAAGACTGCAGCAAATGAGGATAAAAAGTAGCCTTTCGGTAAAATGGGAAGACTAAACACGTTGGACTTTTATGTTAAACTCAAAGGAGCTTCCTGCACTGGCCCTGGAAGATTGTCTATCGAAGCTTCCACAAGGCTAAGCCTGCTGGGTGAACTGAGCAAAACGGCCATTTGTTCAGCCACTCAGTCGGCCACAGTAGGCTGGTAGCAGACATTCGAGGCAAGTAAAGGCTGCTTTCAGTTGACATTGAGTCCTGGTATCAATATGGAATGTGATCATGCTGGTTTTTTCAGCAGTAATATAGAAATGGCCATTCACTTTCTACGTCAAGCTCACAATGCAAACAAGATCACCTAAGTGCTCCCATGGGCTGAGATTAACAATAATTATATTGTTATTGAGGAGTAGTAATAGTTACGTTATTATTGGATTGTTAGATTTGGTATGCAGAGAATATATCAAATATTCCTGCTTCCTGTGTTCCCACAATCACCTCCCTGTGAGGTAGGCTGGGCCGTAAGAGAGCAAGTGGCTCACCCACCCAGCTGGCCTTCATGCCTAAGGGAGACCTAGAACTCAATCTCTCAGTTCCTAGGCCAGCCCCTTCATCACTACACGTAACTGGCAATGTCAAGCAGTGGTTAAAGTGATGAATTTGAATAGTAAGACCCAGGCAAATACCCACTTGACTGGAAAGCTCACTGCTGAAATGTGAGTCAACCATTCTCTTTCAGTTCACTCTACCCCATAGAGGTGTAGTTGTGGTGATAAAATGAGAGGGATGTCCTAAGTACAGTGCTCAGAGGATAAATGTAAAGGCCCACTATTTATCAAGAGTTTTGAGCTCTAAGTAATATTTACGACAGGAGGCTGATCTCTCACAATGCCTAGGCACTTTCCACCTTCCTAAGACTAGAAAAACCCTAAATATGAGATTGCATTTATTGTGGCAGATTCCCATGAATGTTAACTATGCAGAAATGTCCCAGAAGTCAGGTGGCGGTTAGTTACATGACTAAATCTAAATTGCGCAAGAGACCAGAGCAGAGGGGAAGAAGGGGGAGAAGAGAGATCAGCAGCTGTGAAGCAGAAAAGTGAGTGATAAGAGTTGCTTCTTGGAGCTCTTTAAGGCTGGGCAAAAGTGCCCTATATAAATCAGCAAGTCAGAGAGTGATAAACCATATTTATTTGTGAGGATAGCTGGGATCCTTGTGGTTGATTTCTATGGCATCTTATTTCAAACTTTTGTTTTCTTTTGTTTTTTAAGTGATGGATTTTCTCCTCTATCGTGGCCTTTTAACTGATTGGTTTTCTTTACAATTTTGCATTACACAGTAAAATATTGAACCACTAAAATAAATCTTACCTGGGGAGCTCTCTGGATCTCCAAGGCAGGGAGGAAATGTGGATTCTTGCTTGTAAGAGTCCAAATCACTGATAAATCCACTAGGGAACTGAGAAACATAGTGATGTTGTAAGTATAATATAAACTCCTGAAATATTTCCCAAGATCCATTAGGAAGGCAAGGGACCCTGCCTTGTCAATCTATCCAATCCTTGCTTCAAGACTGACATTTTCCCACCATGAATTCTGCAGTCATGACTTCTGCCAACATCTCATTATGCATCAGTGGAGAGGTGAAAGATGTGCATGATGATGTCATCTCATAAACCATATGTCATATATTTATGTCAGGCCAATTACTTCAGGCTATTCTTTGGCCACTGATGTGTGTGAGAGAGAGGGGGGGAGAGAGGGGGGGAGAGAATTCAAGATGATAGCTGCAATGCATTTGGTTGCCATTTTGGCTTTTTTTTTTAAATCATCTCCCATACCTGCCATTCCCATTCTCCATGAGAAGTAACCTGGTAACCTCCTTTGTCTGTTCCTCTCTCTTCCTTCCCTCCCACTCTTTTCTTCACTCTCAACAGGTTAACAGAAAAAGTACAAAGAGGTTTGAACCTCCTAAAATTAGGTCAGGTGTCTCAAATTTCCACCCTATTCAGAATTCGAAATCACATGCTTACCATATAGCCATATTGGGATCCATCAGGCCTGTGAAGAGAGAAAGAAAATTGGTAAGCAGGTATACTTACCTATACTTACATGCCTGTACTAAGCTCATGTCTCTCAACTCGTGTTCCCATGTATTACCAAGAACATTGAACAATGATTAAAACAGCCAGCACTAAAAAGTTAGGCTCAGAATGACAGGAACTTCCTGCTGTATATTTTTCTTAGTTGTTGTTTGGGTAGATAATACAAGGTTTTCTTTCACAGACCACATAAATCTATACATAGCCATGCTTATTCAGAAGCAAGTTCCACTTTGTTCAATCAAATAAAAGTGGAATTTAATCAGTTAAGATTTCTTTGAGTAGAAGAGTATTTTATAAATCTTAACAACAACTTTCATTATCCCTATTTCAGTTGCAGGGGATTAATTTTGAAACTGCAATTCTATACACATTGATCTGGGATTACAACTGAATAGACATATATGCTGTATGACAGTCCTATAATTAGCTTAGAGCTTTCCTTATTAATTTATCAGTATAAATTATCCCCAGAATGGGGATCATGATTTATGCAGCCTCTTCCCATTGGCTTGTGTACCACCAAACACTCAACCCTGGCTGCCTTTCGTTGTTGCCACAACATCCTGGAGAATAAAACCAACAGGGCTGTCTTTGGCTTTCATTTGTTGCCTACATGGATGGGCAAGAGAAAATTTGGAGGACATCAAACACAAACTATTGGATGGTGACAACAATACATTATGTTAGCAGGACATTATTTCACTTTAGCAGGAGTAATGCCTGGTAAAGCTCCACGATGAAGAAAATGTTATGTATTTTATATATTCCTATAGTTTCATTTGGTTTAAGTGAAAAAAATGCAAGATATACATGCCCCAATAAAAGAGAACAGATGTAGGTAAGAGATGAACTCTGGGTGCTTTCTGAGCTTGGTTATTTGCTTGCAGATGTTTCTTTATCTGACTAGGTAATATCATCAGCGCGAGTGAGTGTGGGGTCTGCTCCTGACAATAGCTTGCCTTGCCAGTGTGGTGGGGTTGCAGATTTCTCCTTGGCTGTTCTTTGATTAGGATATTATTTTCTGCTTGATTATTAGTCTCGTGTTAATCAAGGGGAACAAAACCTAAATTATATAATTGTACAGAGAGACACACAGAGGTAAACCATATTTACACACTTTTCAAAACAGACAATACTGTAAAAAGGCTAAAAAGGAGGGGGGGAGTTCAGAACAGATCCTCTCCAGCAACCAATATCCAGATAAGCATGGATTAACAAACAATTAAGCAGAAAATAATATCAACATCAAGGAACTACCGGCAGGACAAATTATTGTGCATAACCAGGAAGCAAACTCCATGCTCACTAGCACTGAGGATGTTACCTAATCAGGTAATGAAATGACTGCAAGCAAGGAAAACGTGTACAGATTTCATATACATGTCCTCCAGTGGGAATGAAACCTAATTCTATATAATATAATCCTACAGAATTTTCATTCAGAGTAAAATTGGAAAGTGTTCAGAGAATCTATTTTTTTTCCTCCTCTACTACTATTAATTCATTGAAATCAATATAACCTTTTTTATTCCACAAATATAATCACTAGACTGAGTATCCTTACTAGTTGCAATTCATCCCCATTTAACATCATCTTTAGCTTCGTAACCTATTCTTTGAATTAATTTTCCTAAAATCAAGGGTTCTTCATATTTATTGAACTTCAGGTTTCATAATTCCCATTATTAGTTGTTGTTGTTGTTAATTGCGAAGTCGTGTCCGACCCATCGTGACCCCATGACAATGTTTCTCCAGGTCTTCCTGTCCTCTACCATTTTCTGGAGTCCATTTAAGTTCACACCTACTGCTTCAGTGACTCCATCCAACCATCTCATTCTCTGTCGTCCCCTTCTTCTATTGCCCTCAATCTTTCCTAGCAATCTTCTCCAGTGAGTCCTTCCTTCTCATTAGGTGGCCAAAGTATTTGAGTTTCAACTTCAGGATCTGGCCTTCTAAAGAGCTGTCGGGGTTGATCTTTTCTAGGACTGACCGGTTTGAACGCCTTGCAGTCCAAGGGACTCGCAGGAGTCTTCTCCAGCACCATAGTTCAAAGGCCTCAATTCTTTGGCGCTCAGCCTTTCTTATGGTCCAACTTTCACAGCCATACATTGCAACTGGGAAAACCATGGCCTGGACTATACGCACTTTTGTTGACAGGGTGATGTCTCTGCTTTTTAGTATGCTGTCTAGATTTGCCATAGCTTTCCTCCCCAGGAGAAAGCGTCTTTTAATTTCTTGGCTGCAGTCCCCATCTGAGATGATCTTGGAGCCCAGAAAAATAAAATCTGTCACTACCTCCATTTCTTCCCCATCTATTTGCCAGGAATTGAGAGGGCTGGATGCCATGATTTTGGTTTTCTTAATGTTGAGTTTCAAGCCAACTTTTGCACTCTTTCTTCACCCGCATCAAGACGCTCTTTAGTTCCTCTTCACTTTCTGCCATTAGAGTGGTATCATCTGCATATCTTAGGTTGTTGATATTTTTCCCGGTCATCTTAATTCCAACTTTTGTTTCATCTAGCCCTGCCTTTCTCATGATGTGCTCTGCATATAAGTTAAATAGGCAGGGTGACAGTATACAGCCTTGCCGGACTCCTTTTCCAATTTTGAACCAATCATTGGTTCCGTGTTATAGTTTAGGTCAGTGTTTCCCAAACTTGACAATTTTAAGGCATGAGGACTTCAACTCCCAGAATTCCACAGCCAGCAACGCTGGCTGTGGAATTCTGGGAGTTGAAGTCCACATGCCTTAAAATTGTCAAGTTTGGGAAACACTGATTTAGGTCAATGGTTCTCAACCTTTTTAATGCCGCAACCCCCAACCAGTCGTTAAGTCAAGGACTAAACTGGTCGTATGTCGAGGACTAAACAGGTCGTAAGTCGAGGACTACCCAACCGTTCATAAGTCAAGGACTACCCAACTGTTCGTAAGTCGAGGACTTTCCCCGCCCGGGAGCGCCACACATGCGTGGTGCTGCCCCCTGCGCAGGCTGAGGCGTAGCTGGCAAGCAGCAGAGACGGAGCAGGCCGACCACTGGCTGAGCCACCAGCTGGCCCAGCCCAAGGGAGGTAAGGCACCCGCCAGAAAAGGGGAAAAAATGGCAGACAGCCTTGCTTGGTGACCCCTGTGAAATGGTCAATCGACCCCAAATGGGGTCGCGACACATAGGTTGAGAACCGCTGGTTTAGGTGCTGGGATTGTTGTAAATAAAATAGCCCCACAATGAGATAGGCAGCAAATAAATTTAACGATTAAAATAAAATGGTATAAAAGATTCTAATGATTTACAAAATGAGCTCTGTCGTGCAATCTTTTCTGACATCTGGAAGGCCTGAGAGTGGGGAAGGCTGCTATTCCTTTCAGAGCTTAGGGTGCATTTGGATGTGGCATCAAAAGCCCCAAGGGGGGAATTGGGAGCTACAGTTCCCTACCCCTGGGATAAGATGTCTTCTTTAAATCTGGGTGAGTAATAATTCATTAGGAGTTATATCAAGTTCCCAAAAGGATGAATGTGGCCATTTCTGCATTGCATTGATGATGGAAATACAATATGCTAATACATCAGCATAGCAAAGCATTGTCATATTTTGATACAGCCCCATGCTAGTAAGAAATTATGGAAGTTAAAAGTTAAAATGCCTGAAAGCAAGGAGGAGGAGAGGGGGAGGAGGGGGATGGTGATAGCTCCTACAGCATGACCCATTCACTTACCATGACATCATTGTACATGGCTCTGCCCATGATACAAAGAAAGAAAAGAGACAGTGTGACTCCTAAGGCTGAACATAAACTATGTAGTACTTTCAAACAGGGAGCAGCTTTTTTCATAAAGGAGAGATATAGGAGAAAGAACAAGTTCCCTCCAACTTGCTCCTTCAGATGTTTTGCTCCAACAACTCAATCACATCTCAGTTACTTTGACTTTGCTTTTAACCTTCAGCACAGGGCATCTAGATAGGGAAGGCTTCATACTAGATAAGGAAGGGGGAGGGGGCTTTCAAGTATTGTGCAATATATAACCATCTTTGCTCTACATTGTACATTTACTGTATGGAGGGTAGTGGCAGAAGCAATCTCACCATTAACTAGAGCTAGTCAGCTATCTCAGACATCCAATTTGGTATCTTGAGAAAAGCAGTTATTAATTCCTTCATTTACCCTGGCTGTGATTATACTGGCATGAAGAGGGGAAAAACTTGTCAACCAAGATCACTTCACCAGCTGAAGCAATTTTATTTTTTAATAAATAATAATACACCAAAAAACTATATTTCCCCAAGGTGGCTTCGAGCAGACTAAAATCACACGTGGTTCTAGGGAACAAAGCATTATAATTAATATTAATATTGAAAGAATCATGGCAGCACCCCAACCTTCAACAAAATGGGCCAGCTCTGGGTAGACATGGGCAAAAAATCAGCATTTTTGAGTAGAACTACAAAGCAAGAGAACTGTTCATTGTCTCATTGTCACACTCTTGTGCTGGGGAAATATTCAAATCTATTTTTCCCAACCTTCACCAGTCTCAATATTTGCATAACAGACAACAGGAAAGGAAGAAAAGTGAGAGGGAGAAAAGTATGGGCTGGACGGAAACCTAGAATACAGAACATCTGGTCAGGTACAGGAGATGACAAAATAAAAATAGCAGCAAGGCTGCTAATTTGGAGAATAGCTGGCAAAGTATGAAGTTATCTCTATACTTACAACTGTTGCACATTTTTTGCAAAACAGTTGTATAAGTCAATTTTCTAAAAGGCTGCAATGGGAGAAATAGCAGCCAAAATATTACTATATAAATAAGACAGGCATAAAAATACCAGAGTCAAAAATGAAGTCCACTTAGTGTATTTGGCACACACTTAAAGAGATGGGGTGAAACACTAGATTGCATTAAGCTTCAAGAAGTGAAGGACAGAACAAAAATGTCCCAAGATGAAAGCTACTCCTGTTGATTATATGAAGATGTCCATTTGGGAGTGATTTCCTAAGGATTTCTTTTGGGAAGTTTTTAAAATTCCAAGTCTGCAAAGGGTATCCCATCAAAGCACTAAACAGTTCCAATCATGTTTAGATGTTTTTATTGTTGTTTTTTTGTTTTGTTTTGCTAAAGCCAAGATCCAAAAGGATCTGCCTAAATTCAACTCCTAGGTCAACCATAGCGCTGAAGAAGTAATCACAGATTCTGTTCTTCTTCACTGGGTTGTTGTGAGAAGAGAATGAAAACTGTACAGTGCTTAGATAACCTTTTAAGTAAAAATGGGATTGAGTGTAATAGAATCTAAATCAGGTCTGCCTCCTTTATGCCCTCACTCCCAGCAATGAGATTTTAACTAGCTCTTTATTTTCATGTATGACTTTTGACATTGTTTTCTGAAATATTAAAAACATGTTGCTTTCTCAATTTTAATATACATGCATACAAACTGTTTTCTAGCAAGAAAATAGCCTTTTAATTTTCAGTTTTGGCCCCCAACTTTTTGCTTCATTCTTTTTAGACGTTTTGGTGGGCAAACTTCAGGTGGCTGAGGGTTACCCATTATATTTGGGGAGACTTAAGGACTATAAAGTGGGTGCAACTGGCTTTGGTGAGAACTTCAGAAGTTATTAACTGTACGATAGGCTTCTTTTAGAATTTCATATTTTAATTTAAATCTGTATAACAGCTCAGCACCACGGGATACTTTGTCATTCTTTCCAGCGACACTGATCCAAAGGGGGCTCCGGGGGTCCCAAAAAGGGATGTTGGAGATTTATGTGGGTTATGAGCCATAAGTTGTCTACCTCTGCCGATGAGCATCTGTCTTTCCCAGGCGATGCGTCTGTTTTGCAAGCGTTGCGGGGCAGAGCCCTCCGAGTTCCACAGGCGCCCAGTTCTAGCACCTCGCGCAGATCCACTGAAAGGGACAGGCAGGCGCTAGAGCCGGTCAAGCGGAAAACTGTCCGCTTCTGTGGCCAAAATCTACCAGCCCGGTAAGAAAGATGCGCGATTCAAGAAGGCGCCACTGTCCATTTTTACATGCGAACCCGAAACACGAGGATCCGCTGTGCCCACGGTGAAATGCCACAACATTATGCTTCTTTAAGCAAGTATAATATATCAAATCCGCGGCTCCCATCAGGGTCCGCTTCTGCCCTCTCTCCCTCCGTTCGCCCCCAACCCAGTTCCCCTCGCACTCACTGCGCGTAATCCAAATCCAGCATCCTGGATGGGCGACGACGGGAAGCGTGTGCCAGTCCGCTACCCCGCCGAGGCGCTTTCAGCGGCAGCGTCCAGCCTTCTTCAGTGGTGCCGCCAGCAGTTTCGCCGACAGGGGAGCATTTATGTAGCCTTGCGATTCGCGACTCGAGAGGGGAGTGACCTCAGACAAAATTCCCCCAGATAGGTGGGGCTGCCCTAAGATGGTCCTTGCGCAATGAGCGCCTACAGCGAGGAGTGTTGGGGGGGTGGAGTTGTGGGACTTGAATAGTGGATCTCACACCATCTCAGTTAATACACCAGATTCGGGGACGGAGATGCCTGAGGCGGTGCAGATCTTCCTGTTCCAGCCATGCAAAACGCCGCCTTAGATCCGAATCACAATGTTGTTACCAGTCAAAAACTCGGAGGAGGTTTCCTTCTGATTTAGCCTAAAGCAATCGGCCAAATTGGACATAAATACCAATAGTTGCCGTTTGGAGCAGTGAGAGAGAAAGAGAAAAGATTGTTCAAAATACTTTTATTAGACCATCTAAACTTTTATAATCATTGTAAATGTTTGGGAAAGAAAAAAAATAGACACAAATAGGTAAAAGTTAGGAGAATTGAGGCTACAATAGTACATTCACCTCCCCTCCCATTCAGAAATTATGTTTTTTCTCCATAGTTTTTTTTTTTTTTCAATTTCCACTACTTTGGACTGCAGAGACCCTCATCTGCTGTGGTGATGGGCTTTGAAAAACATTGTACTGTAAGGAACCAAGTTGTGAAAAGATTCAGGAGGGGGGATTTGATTAATTGTCCTTATAAAATAAAGGCCAAAAAAAAGGTATCCTCTGGCACTATAAAAATTAAACAACTGAATCTCAGAATGATAGCATTAGTTTATTTCACTGCATAGAACTTTAATGATCAGTTTTGAGAGGTGAAGGATTGGATTAGACCATTGGAAAAGTAGATCAAGATTCAAAACACAGAGATAGATTTAGATATCATTGCATTCCAACATTGATTTATTATTTTTATAATTAGCTTTATGCAATAAGTTCATATGGTGCAATAAGATTGTGTGTTTGTTGTCACTGTGAGTTGTGTTGGGGGGGTGCACGAAGGGAGGCTCAGCCAATCTCATTGTACACATGTTGTACTTTGACAATAAAGGTTAATTTGATTTGATCCCACTTTTATTTTGTACAACTCAAGACAGTGTGCAAATGCTCCCACCCTCTAAGTTGCCCATAACAAAAAGCTTGTGAGGTGTGTTGAGTTGAAAGAGAGTGACGGGCCCCAAATCATTCAGTCACAATTTATGGAGGCTAGAATTCAACAGCCTCCCAGTTTTTAATTCAGCAGATTAACTATTACCCCATATACAGAACTCCTCAAAGATACAATACTGACATCCAAAATATAAGTTTTACTAATCTGAGCACTGAGGAATTCAAATATAAAAAGAAAGATACAGTTGCTGCTTTTTGTCCATTTCTGCCCAGAGCTGGCCCGTTTTGTTGAGGCTTGGGCTGCTGCCACTGTTCTTGCTCTTGCATTGTTGTTTCTGGAAAAAATAAAGTAACTTCTTATCAGAGCAGGAATTTTTCAGGTAAGTCTCTTTCCTATTAAAAATGTTCTGTTTCTAACATTTACCAAAAGTAATATAAAACTAAAAGAATTCATAACCAACTTTGGTTCCATCACATAACACAATTACTGGCTTCATGTAATATTCTAAAAGATAATGTGGATGATTTGACTTTGGTTTAGTCCGTGTTGTTTGTTAATCATAGTTTTTGTTTAATATAGTGTATGAACATAGCTTGACTTATAAAAATCTAAGCATACAGGAAAAATAGCGGGGAATGTATATCTAGATGGTATTGCAAGAAAGTGTTTAAGAAATATATATTTAAAGCAATACTTATGTAGTGGTCTCACACAGACGTTTTGATGTAGTATTTGATGATTTAATACATTTGATGATGTATTCAGTGGCTTTGATTGCAGAATTTTAAATGCTAGGCTAGGAAACAGGCAAAAATGTTCAACAAGTAAAAAATCTCTTTTCTAACAGAGCAAGTTATTGCAACCAACCTAGAAGGCCAAAGGTGCTTTTTCAGGAGGCAACTGGATTTTCCTCTGTGTGTGTGTGTGTGTGTGTGTGTGTGTGTGTGTGTGTGTGTGTGTATGTGTGTTGAAAACATTTTCCTTCTTATCTAAGAAGCTTCTTCAGCTTTACCTGGGTGGTGGGGAATGGAAGGATTTATATGCCTCACAGACAGCTGGTCATTTGCATTCTTTTAGAGATTCATTTTACCTGTGTCATCAAGGTCACCTGAATAGTGCAAATGGGTGTGGAGCCTTCTTGGCTGCAGAATGTTTTCTGCCCTGTGTCCCTTCACTGTTGAAGATAAGCAAAGGCTGTTGGGGATGAGTCTGTGTTGTCTGTATCTCAAACTGAGCTGCAAATAGTTCCAATAGTCTGCAATTTTTCTGGAAATCTGTTCACACTCCCACACCATTTGAAAGGTGTTCATCCCAAAGTGCATGGTTACAGTTCTATGGAGATTCTCAATCACTCAGGTTATGGTTGAATGAAATCCTTCCATTCCCCACCATCCAGTCAGAGCTGCACACTGTTGCTTCCTTCGCTCAATCATTATTCCACTATACTATTGTCGCTCTATTTTTCTAAAACAATGTTCCCAACTTTGTCAACTTTTAAGATATGTGTATTTCAACTTGCAGAATGGCTGGCTGGTGAATTCTGGGAGTTGAAGTTCGCACATTTTAAAGGTGCCAAAGTTTGGCAACACTTTTCTAAAATTATTCAAGCAATGCATAATATTCACTCAACCTTGTAAAATAGGTTAGTCTAAGAGACAGAGAAGCAGCAAGATTTGAGTTCAGTCCACTGAAGCTCTATGTTGGGCTAACAGCGATCCAAACCTCACAAAGTTTCATCCATCAAGTTCTTTTTTGCCCCTCTGGTACATTTCAATGTCTTTTCCATTTCACAATGGTCCTGAGAGGTTGGTCCTTCATAATTTCAGTTTACTTCTAGAATTTAGTACAATAGTGAACAAAAACTCCTTCTTAGGGGCGACACCATGTAATTATACTATCTTCACAAATTCTTTTGTCTTCTGTTTTCATGAGCTGATTAGATCTTCCCTGCTTGAGCTTTTTATTATCTCCCACAGGAGGTACAGCTGCCCCCACTTAAAAAACAAGTATTTTAAAACAATTGAATATATCTTCTCTTGGTTCTTGCAGACAACAATTGCTCAGGACTAGACTGTCTCTTAAGGGAATGTTACAATTAGTGTTATAGTGAAATTATTTTTTTTACTGCTTGATAATTTGATTAAACATTTTTAAATACAATTCTGGAATAATAATAATAATAATAATACAGCTAATAACCATTTAGCCCATAATAAGTCAGACATGACTGTAGTTAACAAAGAAATAAGTATAGATAATTGTCATTGCAATAGCTGCAAATGGAAAAGTCATTAAGAAAGAACTAGAAAAAAATAAGGTAATAATAAAACCTTCAATAGAGATCAAGCAATTGTGGAAAAATGTCATACTAGTGCCAATAGAGATTAGTACACAGTCCTGTACTAAAAGATCTGGAAAAGCACTTGGGCCCAATAATAGACAGAATCTTATCAATTTAAAAAATTCTATTATTTGTAACAGTATTACAATGATATCTTCAACTATCTTAGGTTCTTGGGAATGACTCAATAGCCAAAACTATCAAATCCAATCAGCATTATTTGGTAAACTATGTAAACAACAACATTTTTTTTGTAATCTACATTTTCTTTTTTTTAATGGAGTTTATTTGCTCCCATTTTACCATGTGTGGTTATTATTCAGCAGCTAAAAATATTAGCCTTGTCTGGCTAAAAAGCAAAATTGAAAGTTATCGTCGATTGTGTTAAATTTACAGATAAGTTGTTAATAAAAAGTTGCTGAATAAACCAATCCTACATGAAAGCTCTGCATGTAACCAAACCACAGGGGAGAAAAATGAGGAGGCATATTGAACACACTTGCCATTTCTCCCCAGTGTCACCATACCAGTTTTCAGATACTGGAAAGGAAAAGTTTGAGGGTCCCATATGTTTAACACTGAAAAATAAGCAGTCTGATACCACGTGTATTATATATTTTACTTTTTATTATTCTGTAAGTCACTCAGAGACTCTATAAGAGTGAGATGCGAGGCATATAAATTTAATAAATAAATAATAATTTACTTTAGCAAGCTTCTAGTTCTGAAGAAAGATCACTGAGCAAAGCTCAATTCTTAGTAACTTCGTATGTTTGGCCATGTAGTCTTCACTGAAACAAGTGGTTAGCCATTGCTTTCTTCCAAAACTTCCCACCTCGTTTCCTGTCTTGTGGTCTTCCAGATGCTAACCATAATTCCTTGGCATTTTTAAGATCAGCTATGGTTGGCTGGGTGTTTACATAACCACCAATCTTTTTCCTTAAGATGTTCCAAGTCTCCCCCAGTTTCTCAGCAAAAGCTGAGGGAGCCCTGCATCCAGAGATTAGTACATCGAGATTGTTACATGGACTCATGCCTTCCCACATATCAGCCTCAAGAGGGGAGCTCACGTGGACAACCAATCATAACTTGTGAAAGAATCAGAAAGGCTTTTTATCTCTTTAGACACCTTTCCCTGCTATCTGGATTGCCCTGCCTCTGCCATCCGGATTGGGGGAAAGCTCTTACTCAACAGAGGAAAAGGCAGAGAGCCACCTATCCACCCCCATCATTTGGTCTCATGCATTCTCTCTTCCTCTACTTACACCCAAGGACCTACCACTGCCATCTACAACTTCCAGTTTAGGTGAAAGAGAAGCACATAATAATAATAATAATAATAATAATAATAATAATAATAATAATAATAATAATAATAATAATATAACAATTGTCGATAAGAAAGACAAAAAAGTCTGGATAGTGGACATGGCAGTGCCTGGAGACAGCAGAATAGAAGAGAAAGAGCTGGAGAAGATAACAAAATACAAAGACCTACAAATAGAAATAGAAATTGGCCGTGGCAAAAGCAAGCAAGGGTAGTACCAATAGTCATAGGCGCCTTGGGTGCAATCCCAAAACAACGGGAGCACCACTTGTAATACCATCAAACATCCACATCTGCCTATCCCAGGTCCTGGGTAAGGACTCGATAGGTGACAAAATGCCAAATCCAGTCTGAATGGCTGACTGTGTCAATTGCAAAAGGCGGCCTTACTAGGCAAGCAAGGGTAGCTCATAGGCGCCTTGGGTGCAATCCCAAAACAACTGGAGCACC